CACTTTGGAGATGTTTTATGACTGTTTTGTGCTATTTGGTGTATACGGGTCACCCCATATACTGAAGAGCTGGTCAGAGCCCAGTTGTCCACAGCAAGGATAAGATTATCTGGAAAAATTCACTCTCAAATAGTCTGATCAGGAAATGCTGGAATAAGGATTTGAGAGAAGGCCTTCTGGTATGTTAGGATCTCTGTGTGTACACCTAATAGAAATACAGAATACACCTCAGCTCATATTGCAACAACAGATAATATCTTTACTGAAACACAGTTTTCTAATGAGAGAAAAAGTGGTAAGACTACATCCTGTCAAAGGTAGAAAACTTGCAAACCCAGAAAAACACAGTGACTCCATCAAGTGTCAGCCTCTGTGCATTTAAATAATTAATCTCATCCTTATTTTTTATTAAAATAAACATTTAAGGTGGTAAATTCTTCTTTAACTATTAATATGTTTTACACTGACTTTGGCTGGATGCCTCTATTTAGTTCTTTTAACTGATTGGTGTATCAAACAATGATGTTTATGAGGTCTTTGTTTTGTTACAGATAGCTCAGTAACCCAATGTTCTAAACCATGATTAAATATTGAACTATTACAAATGTGTTTTGAAATGAAGTGTCTTTCTACTATTATTTCTTCTCGAAGCCAAATATTTTTACAATTCTCATTTCGTGTGCAATGTTTTTTGCCTCTTTAATCTCCATTTTTAAAAATAGTTTAAGATCAAATTTCTAAGATTTTTTCACCTGTGTCTTCTCTACTGTAAAATCTCCCAGATAAATTTCACAATTTGCTGTCATTTTTGATCCTAGAAATTCCATATGTGTACATCTGAGCTTGTATGCATACATTTACTCTTTAAATCTACTTGGAGATTTTGGAGAGTGATCATTTTTTTTAAAATCAGTTGATGTATTCCTTTTTCTGTTTAAAGCACATCAGCCCTATGAATTTCTCTCCCGGATAGTTTTCATTCCCTGCCTCCTCCAGTGTGAACTCCACTGGCTCCCATTCACGGTGGCAGTTGTGGGTATCTGTTCTGTGTGATATCTGATGGGTCCCTCTGCTTCCTGAAACATTCTCTGCAGGAATTAAGTGGGGATTGCTCTCAAAGTCCTGGACTCTGAAAAAAACCTGGCTTCATTTCAGATCTATATCTGTTACTCATGACCATGTTAACCAAACTTCTACACTAATTGTTGTTGATGTTGTTGTTATTTTTATGTTCCCCAGTGACTCATAGCAACCCTATGTACAAGAGTCCTAAACCTTGCACTATCCTGTGTCAACCTCATTGTCTCCGACACATTCACTCCCACTACCCCAATCACTGAATCAGTCCTTCTCATCGAGGGTCTTCCTCACCTGTGCTGTCCTTCCACTCTCCCAAACATGATGTCCCTCTCCAAGGACCGGTAACTACTTGCAACATGTCCAAAATATGTCAGATGAAGCTTCAGAATTCTTGACTCCAAGGAGCAGCCCAGCTTCACCTTCTCCAGGACAAACAGGTTTGCTCTCCTAGCAGTCCATGATATATTCAACACACTTCTCCAGCACCACAGCTCAAAGGCATCAATTCTCTTTCTTATCATCACAAGTCACTGTCCAGCTCTCCGATTCATAGCACACAACTGTGAAGACTATAGCCCAGATCAGGTGCACATTAGTCTCCAGCCTAATGTCATTGCTCTTCAGTACTCTGGAGAGGTAACTGACAGCTGACTTTGCCAATGCAATTCATCTATTGATTTCCTGGCTGCTGTTACCAAGGGTGTTGACTATGGAGCCAAGTAAACTAAAACTGTTAACTATCTCAGTCTCTTCACCATTCATACTGATGCTGCCAATACTTCTATTTGCCTTGAAAGTAAAATGAATCTCCTAATTTAGGTAAAAATTACTCAGTGCTTACAAATTTATGTGCAGAATGTTCCCTATATACCTACATTAAGGAACAGACCAGGCAAAAATGCCTACCATTCTTGTCTATGGTTGAGCTAAAGAACATTCAATGACCGCACTATACATCTGAAAAGACTCTACAATGTCCCAATCTTTTCCTCTGTGGGCTTCTGGCATAAAGTTCTAGCCAACAAGGTTTAGTTTTGCCCCTAAAGTTGCCTCAGAACACAGTGACCTCTCTGGAGTCCTGCTTAATCTTAAATAGCAGCATGTCCCACCTCCTTAATAGGTTTTTATCACCACCGTTATATTAAAATACATAGCATCATATTAAAATGTATGTTATTTGTTGTTGTTAAGTATCAAGTTGAGCAAGACTCATAATGACCCTATGAACAAAAGACCTGAACCCTATTCTGTATTGTCCTTTCTCTGAGTTCAGAGTGTTTCCAGAGTCATGCTGTTCAGGAAGTGAATTTCACTCCTGCTTCCAAGCCTGTCCTAACCTGGAGCTCCACCAAATACTAGCCACCATGAGTAACTATTATGGAATTTAGCACACCAGTGACACAATGTTCAGCATCACAGCAACCCCAAGTTATCTCAGTACAGCGAACTGACAGACCAGTGCTGTACCACTTGGCAGAATGTTCATCCCAAACATAATTAACACCAACTGACTTTTAAGTACCAAAGCCCTCCACCAGGTCCTACTGACTCTAAACAAGCAGCTTCCCACCCACAGCCCACTGTTAGCTAAATCCAGCGAATCCAGTCAGTTCACACACACTTGTGAATGAAATAAAAAAACAACCAGTCCACACCTGACCTTCAACCAACACAAAATATCCCCCCTTCTGGAATCCAACACTTCACACATCAGCCTCCTAGTATTTTATTTTATGTTAACTGAAAACATTTTGTAAGGTTATATAGTTTATCATGAATGTGTTCTAAACAATGCCTATTTAAATCAAACAAACACGCCAAGGCTATGATTCTCAACCCACCTAATACTAGGTCTGCCTTTTCTCAAAGGAAACAAAATCCTTAGGAAATATAGAACTGTGTATTCTGTTAGGAGAAAAACCTCTCCACTACCACCCAGGGGTAGAAGGACAGTCTGACTGTCAAGTATGGAACTGGACTTTCAAAGGACTCGCAGGTCTCTAAAGATGTGAAATGTTACATAGACCAGACAATGCAAGGCTAGATGGTTGGATGGGTAAACACACACACACACACACACACACACACGTGCGCACACGCACACACACACACCACACACACATGCACGCACACATATGCATGCTTCTATAAATTTCTTTGAAGACTAAGATTCCCCTACACAAAACATGGTCTTTTCAATCATCTCATATGCATGTTGTTGTTGTCATGTGCCGTTGACTCACCTGTGGCTCATAGCGACCCTATGTACAACAGCACTGAAGCCTGTCCTGTCCTGAGCCAGTCTCACTGACTCTGAGACAGATACCCCAGTTACTGTGTCAATCCGTCTCATCTGGGGTCTTCCTCTCTTGTGCTGTCTGTTGTTTATATACACATTAGAGACTAGAATACATTGAAAGGGACTGACACAGTGGCCACAACAATGGGCACAAGCATATTAACAGCTATTGTTAACAACTATTGTGGAGATGAAGCAGGGTGAGGACGTGTTTAGTTCTGCTGTACGCAGGTGCACTGAGTCATTACCTACTGACAGCATCTAACACACATCCATACAGACACACACACACGAAGGATATAAAATCACAGCAAGTACATTATAACATATGGGGTATCTCTGCACATGCACATTCATGCAATTATAGTTAAGATCTTAACCCTATAAAACATACACACTCTAAAGTCATCCCATTTGCTAGATAGAGCGGAGTGAAGGACATTGGCGAGCCTGCATTACCCTTCAGTATCTGTGAGACACATAGCATTTTTACTTTTCTTCAGAATTTCTTTGGCTCTTGATATGTGACAGCTTCACATCCACATCAGTCCGCCTTTGGCTCCCAGCTCTACTCTGATGGAGAATGATCATTTCACTGTGGCTGACTGCTGTCCTGTTATTTTTTTAAAATCCCATGGATTGGAGAGAACGCAGCTCTCGTGATTCTACTTCAAACACTGAGTCTGTGGCTTGTGTAGACTTTGTTTCTTACCTATTAACTGCCAACTGGCTGTGACAGTTTGTGAATGAATACTGACATTTGTGTTCACAATGAAACAGAATCTACAGCTCAGGAGATTATATATATCTCACACACAATTAGATTTGAGAAATCCAGAAATTTCATAGGTAAAAGTTGCAATGATAAAAAATTAAAACAAGGTTGTACATGTATGAGTGAGAGAATACATATTTACAAAATATTTTCAGACTTCTTTCATGAATATGTTCAGCACTAAACTGAAGGTAGATGTTTGCAAAAAGAGTTGATCAATGAGAGAGGAGATCAAACAGTACTATCCAAGTCACACTGCCAAACTCAGTAACCAACTATGATGTCAGCAAGCTGGGGGAGAAAGGTCTTAACTTGCATTTCCATTAAGCCAGAACCAACTTATAACTGAACCTCCAAAAAGTTTTTGAAAGCTGTAATTGCATGGGAGGAGAATGTTCATCTTTCTTACTTGAGAAATAGTGGAAAAAGAAAATGCAAATTTTAAGTTAAGTGGAATATATGTGTATAGTGTTACCACTTACAGAAAGGGAACCCATCTTCTCAGAGTTGGTTCTGACTCACGCCCATTCAGTGGTTTCAGAGGGTGATCTTTTATGGGAGGACATGGCCTATATTCCTCTGGTACAGAGTTAGTGGATTTGAACCACTGACTGTCTCGTTAGCAGCTCAACAATTTTATACTCTCCTCTTTGAAATCCAGGGTACCTGGGCGCATGTTCCAATATTGTCATCCATGACTTCATAGTGGCGAGGAAAGTGACAACCTGAAGCTGTCACACAGGAAGAGAGGTCAAAAGTGAGGTAACAGAGGAACAGTCCATGCACACACATGTGAACAAACATCTCTCTGTCTGCCTAGACACATATGTTTGAGTGGGTACTTACAGCTTTAGTCCCAGGACAGTCTGAAGACTGGCATTCACCATTCATCCGATTTGGAATTAAGACATCTTCCCAGCAAGAAGGGCCCTTTAAAGAAAAAGGGGGGAGCGGAAGATAAGACTTAGACACACCAATTGCAGCAGAAATTTTAAACCCTAACACATTTTCTAGAGACTCCAAGGACTTGAAATCTGCAGTTCATCCAACCCGAAGTCCCAACTTGATAAGGAAAGGAGGGAATGAACAGAAGAGCCAGCACAGCAAGGGTGGTGCCACTGTCTCCACACAACCCTGCCTGCAGGAGGGCATCTGCTGCCACCCGGGACCCCTTCCTGGCTGATAACGGTTGTGTGTGCTGTTTACACTATCCATTTAACACAGAGAAAACAAAACTCCTCACAAATAGACCAACATGACAAAAAAAAGAATAAATATTGATGCTGTGAAGGGTTTCTTTGTAATAGGATCCACAACCAACACCCACCACAGCACTAGTCAGGAAATAGAAGAACTATTTCAATTGCTAAATTGGGTGCAAAGACTTCTTTATGGAACTAAAGAGCAAAGAAGTCAGTGAAAAGACTAAGGTGTGCCTGGCCCAAGCAGTGATATTTTAATTTACTCCTGGGCTCTATGAGGAGAAATGTGGGGTCAGGATTGGTGGACGATTTATCAACAATCTGCGTTATGCGGATGACACAACCCTGCTTGCTGAAACTGAGGAGGACCTGAAGCACCTGCTGCAGAGTGTCAAGGACTGCAGCCTACAATATGGATTGAGGCTCAATGTCAAGAAGACAAAGATTCTCACCACTGGACCAATCGGCAGCATCAGGATGGATGGTAAAGAGATTGAGATTGTACACAGCTTTAGTTTGCTTGGCTCCATAGTCAACAGTCTTGGCACCAGCAGCCAGGAAATTAAAAGGCGCATTGCCATGGGAAAGTCTGCTGTTAGGGACCTCTCCAAAGTGCTGAAGAGCAGTGGTGTCTCTCTGGAGACTAAGGTGCATCTGATACAGGCCACAGTCTTCGCAATCACCTGTTATGCATCAGAGAGTTGGACAATGACCAAGGAGGATAGAAGGAGAACTGATGCCTTTGAGCTGTGGTGCTGGAGAAGAGTACTGAGAATACCATGGACTGCTAGGAAAACAAATACATTTGTCCTGGAGAGAGTTAAACCGGGTGGCTCCTTGGAGGCAAGGATTCTGAGGCTCCGTCTAACTTACTTTGGACATGTAGTGAGGAGAGACCGGTCCTTGGAGAGGGACATCATGCTTGGGAGGGTGGAGGGACGGCGCAGGAGAGGAAGGCCCTCTATGAGGTGGATTGATTCAGTGACTGGGATAATTGGGATGGGAGTGTCAGAGACAGTGCGATTGGCACAGGACAGAGCGGAGTTTAGGGCTGTTGTATGAGTCGCAGGCGACTCGACGGTACATAACAACAACAACAACAACCATATTCACATGAATGTTGAAAATGAAGGAAGATGGAGAAGAAACGATGCCTTTAAACTGTGAAGTTGCCAAATGCATTGGCTTTCCTACGGACTGCCAACCAACACAGCAGTCCTGGAACACGTGCGAGGTGGCAAGACTAAGTCTTATACATTGGGCATGTTATCAGGATGGGCTGGCCCCTCGATAAGGACATCCTGCTTGGAAGAGTAGTTGTGGAAAAAGAGGAAAACCTTTGCCAAGACAGATTGACATAAAGACAACAGTTAAATTCAGACAATGAAGAGTGTGAGGAAAAGGCGGGATCCAGCAGAGTTTTGATCTGTTGTCAGAAGGTCTGTATGCATCATGTCTGACCTGATGGTGTCCAAGGATGAGATTACGCCAGTAATGTGTTCATGCTAACATCACCTATATTTGCTTTCCTTCTGTGAATCTTAAATTTTCCATTTGCTGGTAGGACAGTGCCTGCATGACCAGACTCAGTGAAACACTGGACTATGACTCTCCAGACAGGAGATCAGGAGATAGAGGACACTGGGAAAGTCTATAGGCAGGGACCTCTACAAATTGTTGAGGAGCAATGATGTCAATTTGAGGACTAAGGTGTACCTGATTAAGCCATGGTGTTTTCAGTCACTTGCTGTGCCTCTGAGAACTGTACAATGACTAAGGATGTTAGAAGAATTGATACCTTTGAATTGTGCCATTGGATAAAAGTTTTGATGATTCCATGGACCACCAAATGAACAGAGATAGCTTGGAGAAGGTGTAGACAGAATGATCCTTGGAGGCAAAGATGATACAGCTTCATCTTACATACTATGAACATGTTGCAAGGAGAGATTATTTCTTGGAAAAGGACATCTTGCTTGGGAAGGTGGAGGGACAGTGAAGGAGAGGAAGACCCTCAATCAGGTGGATTAACACAGTGACTGTAGCAATGGGCTTGACTGTGTCAGATTGTGAGGATGGAACAGGGTGGGACAGTGGTCAGACCTGGGGTTCATAAGGTTGCTAAGTGCTGTCTCAACTCGATGGAACCTAACAGCATGGCTCTCCACTAAGCCTCTGGGGTAGACCACACCTCACGTGTTTGTGGAGGAATTGAGCTTGCTCTGTGTAACCCTCGTGAGCTCTTGGAGCCATCTGTAGGGTATGTGCTGCTCACCAAAGACCCAAGTGTCTGGTGGTTCCCTCCCCCAGTGGTTAGGAGGAAGAAGGAGGAGACAGTCTCCCCCCATTCTGAACTAAAGCCTCAGAAAACCCGCTGGATGCAACTGTGAGTCTAAAGTAACTCAAGGGCTGTAGTTGGCTCTTCGAGTGACGCTGGAGATGACGTTTCTCAGTGGATACGGCTGAGAGCTGGCAGCTGAAAGGCTGTAGTTGGAAGCCCCTGCTGCTGTGGGGGAGAAGACATGGATACAGTCTGCTTCCGTAAACATCACAGCCATGGAAGTCCCGCGTGGAAGCCCTACTCTATCCCGCTGGGTAGAAGTCAGTTGCAATCGACTCAAAGGCAGGGGAGATGCTTGGCTCTAATTTCATGTGATTCCGCTGGCAGGGGACGCTGGAAAACTTGTCCTTGGCCTCCTCCAAGCATCTGTCTCATCTCTTGTTCATCTTAATGTTTCCTCTCTGTGCTCTTCTCTCAGTGAATCTTCATGTGGGTAAAACCACAAGAAAAAATCTTTGGAGTTGATCAAGTTAAGTAGAGTTGGAAGCTGGAAGTAAGAAGAGGTCCTGAGGATCCCGATACAGTGAAATGAGGTCAGCTATCTAAGGACTGGCCTCCTAGCCACACAAAGGATGAGGACGCCTCAGGAAGCTCACATCCCCTGTGAAGAAGACCACACTCTTTCTAAATGTGGAGCTTAGATTGACAATCTCATTATAATCATAACAATGTATATATTTCTCTGCACTTCAACTTGAGACTCAGTCATTTGGAAATGGACAGATTTCAATGATGGCAGGCAGCCGAATGCATTATTCCGCCTGGGTAATACGGAAGTAGAGGTAAATACGTTAGGAACAGAACGACCAAAGTGGGGCCATGGAGCAGAGAAGGGGCGAGATAAGCTATCAACTTTGCAGGCTACTGATTTTTATCAGAAAGCCCCATGTGTTTGCTTTTTACAATGTGCTTCTGATCACCCGCTCAAAGTAACAAATTTATTGAAATAAAGGTGAAGTAAACAAATTAACTACCAGGTGAAGTAAATAAATGAACTACCAGGGCTCTATTAGAACATAAAACCACGGTGGCTTGCGTGATGCTGTGTGGATACAAGCTGTGCCACAGGTATTCTGAATTCAAGAACTTCTTTATTCTGAATTCCAAGCTTTGTAATTGAACCCATATAAAATAAAATTATTTAAAAACCCCAAGTAAACAATAAAATTTTAAAAAGTCGCTATCAATAAAAAAAAGGTCATGGCAGTCACGTTTCAGAGAAGCTTCCATATGAAGATAGACTTGGAAGATGATGTAATTTTGAAAATTCTTGTAATCTATACTTGGACCAGGAGGCAGTCACTAGAGGAGGGCAAGAAAACACTGCCCAGCATAATAATAATAATAATAATAATAATAATAATAATAATAATAATAATAATAATAATAAAAGGAGTGCATCAGGGATGCATGTGCCCTATTTCCACACTTTTTCAATTCATATGTAGAAAAGATTATTCAGAGGGATGGACTTTATAAGGAGGAATGTGGCATTAGGATTGGAAGAATATTCATCAAAAATCTGTGTTATGCAAATGACACAATTTGCTTGCTGAAACTCAGGAAGGCCTAAAGCTTTGTAGCAGAAGGTCAAGGATTGCAGTCTTCAATATGGATTGAAGTTCAATATCAAGAAGGCAAATATTCTTACCACTGAACAAACTGGCAACATCATGACAGAAAGGAAAGAGACTGAGATTAACAATTTCATCTTGTGTGGGTCTAACATCAAGCACCAGCAGTCAGATCAAATCAAAACACAAACTGTATTGAAAAAATATGTTCTCAGGCACCTCTTCAGAGTATTAAAGAGCAATGATGTCAATTGAGAAAATAAGGTGCACCTGATACAAGCCACGGTCTTTGCAATTACTTGCTGGGCATCAGAGAGTTGGATAATGACTAAGGATGACAGAAGCAGCATTGATGCCTTTGAGTTGTGATGCTGGAGAAGAGTGCTGAACATTCATCTTTGGGCTGCCAAGAGAACAAACTTTGTCTCATCTATTTTGGACATGTTACCAGGAGGGACCAGCTCTTGGAGAAGGACATCATGCTTGGAAGCTTGGAAGGGACAGTGCAAAAGAACAAGAGCCTGGAGGAGATGAATTGAGAGTAACCCGGTTAGGTGTGTCAGAGAGTGCAGGACTGGCTCAGGCTAGGACCGGGTTCAGAGCTATTCCGCATAGGGATGCTACGAGTCATGGGCAACTTGATGGCACGTGACAACAACGTGCATTTGTGTTGTTTTGTACGATCGAGCCAGAACTGGCCCTCCAGATAATTTTCAGAGGCAGTAAATCATTCAGGACAGGAACTGTCCATCCTCTCGTGGAACAGCTAGTGGGTCTGAACTGTGCACCTTTGGGGCTGCAGCACAGCTTCTG